TCTAGTCTTCTGTTATCTTCTATAGCACACAAGGTAATTTACTGCATCCTAACGATGGCTTAGCTTATTCCTGCATTGAGAAAGCACAAGAAAACAGAAGATGATGGAGTCCGCGGACATTTTCTTTCAAAGAAAATTGATGAACATGAGATTGGAAGAGAGAAGAATCGGAGAGAATTTCTCTTTTGTCTGGATAAAATTAGATAAATAGCAAACTGAAGCGTTGTGGAAGTTGGCTGATCTAGTTTTCGCAACTTGATCGTGTTTTCAGGGCGACTTAGTTGGACGCACTTTATCCGAAGTCCTCTGCTATTGTAGTTATCATGATTCGCGGTTTTGGATCGTAGACTTGGCACATTTCCATTGCCATTCTCAGTACCAAGCTACAACGCGTCAAAGAAAAGTGAAGTTAACCCCTTGGCCACCTTTGTGCCGAGACGGTTGTGCTATCAATCATTCTATCTTGGCCAATCTATCTACTCCCTACCCTCTTGTATCACTCTCGGCCTATCACATCTCCTGACTTGTTTATATTCGGATCAACGGACCCACGAGAGAGATCCGGATAGGAGTCCCAAGTCGGATCAACAATTCGGGGAGGAGAGGCAGGGTAAACATCAGGTGTGACGAGGCCACATTAAACTAGCCAACAAAAGGCCAGAGTGAGGTGAGGGTAGGGAGATAGATTGGCCAGGACAGGAAGAAGAATGATAGTGCAATCGTTTCAACAGAAAGTTGGTCAAGAGATTGACTTCACTTGTCTTTTTTGCGAATTGTAGCTTGGTTCTGATAATGGCAAGAAGCACTGCGATGCCGGCGAAACGTCTGGAAATATACCAAGTCCAAGGTCCCACGCTGGGAATTTCTATAGCTTATATAGCAGAGGACTTCGTGCAAGGTGTGTCCAACTAAGTCGCCCTGGCAACATTACCAAATTGTGAAAACAAGGTCATTCTACTTCTATAAATCGGCAGGAGACTACTACCATACCAAAGACCACACCATCTTGGTCTTTATATCTTCGATGAAACATTTTACTTTATATTTTTAAAATAACCAGTAGACTATTTGAAAGTTGTATATTTTCTAATTATATTTGAATTATGACCTGGAATCAGCTGCTAATCTATTTACTGCAGCTAAAAGTTGCTTGCTCTGACACATTTTTTACCTTATAAAGCAGAATACTAAGACTTGAGTGAGATGACTCGAAATATCTTCTGATAGCGGTCTTGAACGAGATAAGCATATAGTTATCTGTTCCTGCATACTGATTTGTCAACTCCTGACTGTAAAGATTAGTTCACGCCAGTGATTATCTGAGGAGTGTTTTATTCCATTAATCCAAACTAACTTTTTTAATATATAGATTCCCTATTCCCTATACAAATTATTAATTATATACTACTTCTGAGTACCATTTTCTTTTGATTCCAATTTTGCCCTATTAACAGCCTTAGGGTCAATATGGATTTGGCAAAAATTGTTTTTTCCTTCAAGATTATGCGTGACAAAGAGTTACCTGGCTGCATCGTTCGCAACACAACGATCCCCGAGGAACTTGCGCGCGTCAGCTATTTAATGTCAGATAAAACAGGAACATTGACACAAAATGAAATGATTTTCCGCAAGCTGCACCTCGGCAGCGTTTCTTTTGCCTCTGACTCCATGGACGAAGTATCTGGCTCTTTACAGAATCATTTTGAGAGCGGCTATGGAAAAACCAAGGAATTAGAAGGCAAGCAAGTCCGCAAGACTGGTGATGAAAAGGTTGCAGATGCCGTACTTGCTGTTGCCCTCTGTCATAACGTGACGCCTATGCGTGAGGCTGAAGGCGATGAGGATAGCATAGAAAGCGAAAAGACAACTGAGAAGCCAGAATTGAAGGCTGCAGGAGATATTACGGAAATGGATCTTGATGAGGACAATAGAAAATTGGTATTAAAGGCTTTAAAATATCTCATTTTACATCTGGTTTACTATTAGCATCCAAATTGGATACATATCTTAATTGTTCAGACGTTATGTGCCCAACAACCTGTCCTTAGTGGGATTTTAGGCACTATTGTCATCCTTTCGATGCATAGCAAAGATATTGTTAGGGGGACTTTCATTTCAAATGAAAGTACATGAAGAAGAGATTCGTTTATAGAAGCTGTTTGACTTTGTTTTCGTAACTCGGTCATATTGGTAGGAAGACTTAAAGAAACGCACCTAGTCCGGAGTCCATT